CAGAAACGTGTGCCTGCTTTCCTTTGGGCTTTATCCTATGCACTACTTCCCATTGCTGATTTCCTTTGGTATCCGTTCACAAATCATATTATTTATGCTAAGTCATGTAGGAGCTTCTGTGGATCACAGAACTTAGGAACAAAAGTGATATGCTCTGAACCATTTCAGGATGTTGCAGAATTAAGTGAGATATTTTGTCCCTAAATTAAACAGCAAAGAAAGACATATATTGGGAATCGAACAAATGCTCTTGGTTCAGTTTGGCTTGTTGTAGTTCTCAGTATAACCAGAAGATGGCGGGGATGACCCATAGATTCCCAACCTTGTTTCTCTCAAGTGCTTTTACTTCTCCTCCTCCTCCTCCTCCTCCTCCTCCTCCTCCTCCTCCTCCTCCCTCTTCCCCTTTCTCACCTTCCTTACTGGGTTGACAGTTTCAGAGGACGAGTCCATGGCCATCATAGTGGGAAGCATGACAGCAGGTGGACAGGCTGGTGCTAGAGCAGTAGCTGAGAGCTTCCATCCATCTAGAAATTTCTTGGACTGTCATTTACTGGTGACAGTCTTCATTCTCCTTCAGAGTTTGGGGGCACAGTCCATCATGGCAGGGGAGTCACAGGAGCAAGAGTCAATAGTCTGAGAAGGCAGTAGGTTAATACCCTGAAAACAGCTTTACGTTTCATCTGTCGCCAACAGAGATGCCCACAAGTCCTTCTCCCAGTGATCCGAGAGTCTATCAAATCAGCAATTAACATTAGTTACATATTTTTTGTTTAATTCCCATAAGGAAGGAGATTTTATCTAATTAGCAACAGCCTAAGTACTTAATGGGCCGTGGCATTTTTCTGAGTGTAGCAAGCTCAATGCACTGGTGTGGCAGCTACCTGGCATCCCAGAGTCAGGCACATTGCACCCACTTCTCTGTTTCTCCTATTCTTCCTTGCCTATGACTATTTGAGGTACTGAATACAACCTGTACAGTTCAGTTCAGTGCAGGTATTTTTTTTTTTTGATTCTCCAAGACAGGGTTTCTCTGTGTAGCTTTGGCACCTGTCCTGGAACTACTGCCACTAGTTTTTGTAGACTAGGCTGGCCTCGAACTCACAGAGACCTGCTTGCCTCTGCTTCCCAAGTGCTGGGATTAAAGGTGTGTGCCACCACCACCTGACTACAGTTAAGTTTTATGTGCAACATCTTTAACTTTACAGTATTCATTAGCAAAAAAGAAGCGAAGAAAAAATAGCATAGATGGAAGCTTAGAATGCTGGATGGAGAGCATGTGACAAAAAATGCGCTTCTCTCTGCTGCCCCTCACAGCAGCATAAGTCAAAATCATTCTGCCTTCCCAGCTACACAAACCAAAGGGGCATCCCAGGACTTACCCAACTGGAAAACATGCCGCTATCCTGTGAGGCATGAACATCTGCCGCTGTTTTATAAAGTACAGTAAGTTTCCGAATTGACTCTGCTTTTGAGACATTCGATCATAGAGCACACAGCTTCTTACCAACTTTTTTTTTTAAATCACAATATTTTCTTTTTTATAATTTATTTTCATTTATTTTTTAAAAAAGAAAACAAACTATCTCTTTTCATTTTACATACCAATCCCAGTCCCCACTCTCGCCCTTCCTCCCATTCCTTCCACCTTCCCCCAGGATCTCCCATTCACTCCTCAGAGAGGGTAAGGCACATTATTTTGGGGAAAAACCAAGCCCTCCCCCCCTTGCTGTACGAAATCCTACAGCTAGTAGCCTTTAAGTTACCTGCTCACTGGAGCATGGTCTCTTACACTATTTATGCCGATGTAAAGCGTGCGTCCAGCTGCAGGATTCTGTCACTGTTCTCCATTCCAACAGAGGATTCTGATTTGTGAGTCTACCCCTAAATAAATAACCATCTATTATTCTCAGTTCTGAGCTAGTGAGGGATTTCTTTTACGTGTCCTTCTTCACTCCCTACTGTATCTAGGCTGAGCAAGGTATTCATCCAAAGAGAATTGGCTGCCAAAAAGCCAGTACATGCAGTAGGGATAAATCCTGATGTCACTGTCAGTGGCCCCTCAGTCTGCCCCAGCTATACAATTGTCATCCACATTTTGAGGGTCTAGTTTGGTCCTATGCTGGTTCCTACTCTGTCCGGCTGGAGTTGGTGAGCTCCCATTAGTTCAGGCAAACTGTTTCAGTGGGTGTCCCCATCATGGTCTTGACCTCTTTGCTTTATTCCCCCTCCTCTCATTCTTTAACTGGACTTTGAGAGCTCAGCCCAATGCTACACTGTGGGTCTCTGCCAGCTAATCCATCATCAGTTGCTGGATGAAGATTCTATGGATATTAAGATATTCATCAATCTGACTACAGGGTAAGTCTCATTTGGGCCCCCTCTCCTCTAATGCTTAGGGCCTTAGCTGGGGTCATCCTTGTGGATTCCTGGGAATTTCTCTAGTGACATGTTTCTTGTTAGCCCCACAATGGCGTCCTCAATCAAAATATCTCTTTTCTTGTTCTCATCTCTGTCCTTTCTCCATCTTAGCAAGGAGACGAGGAGCAGGCAGTTTTCATGGAGGGCAGAGAGACCATTATCTCGGTAGCCAGTTGGGGTGAGGAGGACTTCTGGTGGTGTCACCAGAGTAGAAGCAGCGTCAGAAAGGCCCTGAGATCCAGGGCAAATGTAGACCCTGTCTGTATGTGTGCAGGTGACAATAGATGTGGAGCAGAAACTCTTGGGGCAGAACAGCCCTATGAAAGACTGGAGGAGACGCTGATCATGCAAACAGTGCTTAGCCCTGTGGTTAGCTGGCAGGTAGACAGCCCATCCAGGTATCCACCCCTTCACAGACTATTTCCAGGAATAACAGGGTCAGGGACTGAAAGGCAGCTTCCTGACCTTGGGACTAAGTACACACAAAAGCAAAAAACACTGTGACCAAATAGAGCACTTCCAGTGTGACCTGGTACCAATTATTGACCTTACCTTCTGCCATTAAACCAGTAGCGTCAGGGGGAAGCTCTGGCTCTGAGTAATGAAGAAATGTATCTAGATGCTTCCTGCTTTTTCTATGCCCTGAAGAAATAGACATTTTATCTAGCCCTGTGGCAGTATACCACCCCGAATAGTTTTACACTCACAAGGAATGTGTCAGCAGGAATTAAGAAACAGGATCCTTTGTACATCTGGTTCTGATTGGAAGGGACCTGGAAGGGTAACTCAGTCATATTTATGCTGGTATTTTGTGACCTCCACCACACCCCTCCCAGTCTCTGTGTGAAACTCTCACAGTGGGTTCCCTCAATACTCCAAGTTAATGTGGATTTTCCAAGGCAACTGCCGTGTTTAAATCTGTAATGTCCCCAAATGTCCTTGTGTTAAAGACTGAGTATCCAGCTTGGGGCACTATTGGCAGGTGATAAAACCATGAAGAGATGGAAACTGGTAAGCAGTCTTAGGTAACTGGAGGAATACTCCTAAATAGATTGTGGGCAGTGGGTAGGCTTGTCTTTCCCCTCTTCTTCTCATTTCAGGCTGCAAGACAGATAAGCCCTCTTCTGTGTTAAGCCCCCACCATGAGACACCATGGACATCACAGGCACAGAAGCGAGAGGAACAACTGACCCTAAAGTCAAAGCGAATCTTTCCTCTTTGTAAGTCAATCATCTCAGGTATTTTATTAGAGTAGTGAAAAGCTGATGGATACAGAAAAACAGCTATATTAGAAACGTAGCTCAGAGGCCGGTGGAATGGCTCAGTGTAGGTAAAGTTGCTTGCAGTCAAACCTGGCTACCTGAGTTTGATTCCTAGAGCCCGTATGGGGATGAAGATACCTACAAACTGCCCTGTGCCCTCTGACTTCTATATGTGTACCATGGCATACACATGTGCGCATGGACCCGTGCACACACACAGGCATGCAAACATACACAAATAAATGAATGTAGAAAAGAAATATAGTTCAGAGCTTACTGAATTGTACTTCTTGAATGTCTTGTGTCCCTTCTACTATACTGCCCCAACTGAGCAACAAAGCAAGACTATTTACCCACAAGATGTTCCTGTCTTCTCCTTCTGACACTACAGGATAATCATTGCATGATTTCAACTACATGCTCCACCTGAAGTAGTTGACTTCTTAGAGACAGGAAATAGAATGGCAGTTACCAGCGGTGGTAAGGAGGGGAGAGTTGGGTTGTTACTGTTTAGTGTGTGGAATTTAAATTTGGGATGATGAAATATTGTTGGGGATGGGTTGGGGCAACCTCATAACATCATACATGTTCTTACTGACTTACACAGTTATTAATGGTCTAAGTGGTATGTTATATACATTTTATCACATTAAAATGGCTAGAATACAATGCGGCTGTAGTCAGTACAAACAAACACAGTCCATTGTCAGGGCACTGGGTAGAACTATTTAAGATAAGATCACAGGAAGTTTTTCCTTGACAAGAATCTTTGAATAGAAGGGAAAGAGTCAGAGAGAAGAACACTAAAGAGTGGGAACATCCCAGCTAGAAGACAATAGTGTGGAGTCTAGAAGTGTTCTTCATGTATTGACAGTAGCAAAAAAGGTCTATTATCCTTTATGGTGTACGCATGTGCATGTGTATGTAGTGGGTGTGCACCAGAGCATATGTGTGCTCAGGTATGTGTATGTTTCTGTACACATACAATTTCAAGCTAGGAAATTGGTATGATTAGCCTCTTGAACCTGCTTATTATGGTAACTCAGTTATGAGAATTAGCCAAATGGATGTCAATTGAAGGGGAGATGGTGCTGCTTTCAGGTAGACACCCATGTTGCACCCCTGGAGGCTTCTGGGTAATTCCTCCTGAGGAACATCTAATACAGTCCTAAAGAGAGTTGCTTATTAATCTGGGGTTGAAGGTCAGCATGGATTATCCCTTTTTATCAGCGTTGGCTCCTCCCTCACTGGGAGGCATCTGTCAGAGTTCCCAGTTGAGTGGAAGTTTGAATCCTTGCTGTGTCAAAGTCCTGCAAGTCCTTTCTGGTGAGTGGATTTGGGTTCCTCTGTTCACGGTCAAGGGATCTGATTCATGTCTGAAGGCTTGAGGTAAGAGGCAGGTCAGACAGAAGTCATGCTGGTGGCAGCACTTTCTCTGCTTGCTGGGCCCAGTCCGTTCTCGCAATTATCTGTTTGCAAAGAAGACATTGCAAGGAGAGTGCGTGGGATCTAAGGCCTACAGGACTGGGATGTTATGGTCTCCTAGTGAGGAATAGCTGGAAGAAAGCCTTGAAGGACATATGTGATGGGGACAGAGGCATTCCACACAGGTGTGGCTAGTTGCCGGCAGTTTGGTCATGCACAATCTAGGAAGTAGAGAGGAAATCTACCAGAGAGAAATTTACAGACTAAATGCTGTCCCAGCAACCCTGTCTTGCTGTGTGGAAATGAACTACCAAGAAGTGCACTCAAGTTCATTTGGATTGGGGTTAGTAGACTTACTATGTGATCGGAGCCTGGTCCTGTCTCTTTTAATCACTAACCCACAGTTTACTGTTGAAAACCGGGGAAAGAATAACTAGCTGATCTTGGAGAGAAGTCGTCTATTCCAGTGTGAAAAGAGGATTTGGGCTGCAGATGGTGTCCAAGGGTAGGTAGGTGAGATCCTTTAGAACAGTGGGCTCTATTCATTCCCATCTTCTAAGGCACGAGACGTTAGTGGATTGGTGATATGAAGCCGTTCTGCTCTCACTGCCATGAGAAGCACATTCATAACCTGCCTGCAATGAGAGGAGTGACCTGGGCCCTGGTGACCTTCCTCAGAAGGGCCTTCATTGCGTCTTATGTTGTTATGCCAACCTTTGTTAACTAACAGACACAGTATCGTAAGTGATTGCTTTTCAAAATACCCAGTCTGGACACTAGCGGTGAGTAATCCATATGTACAATGTCTGTCCCCAAGTTACAGGACAGAGGTCAGTATGGTAGATACATGCTGATGAACTGAAAGGGACGATGTAATCTTCCATGATTTTCCCCACACCAAGGTGAGGACCATGTTCCTGTTCCCATCACTCCTTCTCCTGGGTGTGGTCACAGCAGCTTATGCAGAGTCTATTATAGAAGGTGCTCAAAGTACCTGCCCTGTGATTGCCTGCGGTTCTCCAGGCCTGAATGGCTTCCCAGGCAAAGATGGACGTGATGGTGCCAAGGGAGAGAAGGGAGAACCGGGTATGCATTCAACTGATTTCTTTGCTCTTAAAAATTAGTTTTAATTATACAAGGTTTGTGTGTGTGTGTGTGTGTGTGTGTGTGTGTGTGTGTGTGTGTACACAGTCATGCACTCATTTGAGTGCAGGCTACTTTGAAGACCAAAGACATTGTCTTCTTGGAGCTGGAGTTACAGGCATGAGACACCCCAAATGGATGCTGGGAACCGAACTCATGTCCTCTGTAGTATTAGCTCATGCTCTTAACCACTGAGTCATCTCTCTAGCCCCTTTCTGTGACTACGTTCCAGAAGAAACCTACTGCAGATACTTATTAGGCATATTGTTCTTTCATCAACAACATACTGTAACTCAAAACACACAAAGCTCCAGTTCTCTGGGATACTGGATGTCTCCACAGAAGTGTGTGGTGCTTGTCTTGCCTGTCCTGAAAGCAGATCTCATGTTGGTCTAACTCATGGAACACAGGGGCCTTATCTCACCACAGGGGATTAAGCATCAAACCTTTGGGAAAAGAGTAGCAAAAGCATAAATATCAACCCCAGTTTTGTTTGTCTTCCAACAGGTCAAGGGCTCAGAGGCTTGCAGGGCCCTCCTGGAAAGGTAGGACCTGCAGGATCCCCAGGGATTCCTGGGCCAAAAGGAGACGAGGGGCCAAAAGGAGCAGTGGGACCAGAAGGAGCAGTGGGGCCAAAGGGAGCAGTGGGGCCAAAGGGAGCAGTGGGGCCAAAAGGAGACCCCGGAGAGCGTGTCGGTAAGGAGATCATTTCAGATTGTCTGGGATGATGACATTCAGGGTTCTGGAGCCCAGAATACTGGTGGGGTGTACTGTTTCTCAATACTACAAGGGTAGATGCCCAGTTCTGCTTCCTGATCAAGTTCCCATTCTGTAGGCTGTGTTGTTTTGTTTTGTTGACCATGTCCTTTGCTTTACAGAAACTTTTCAGTTTCAGGAGGTCCCATTTATTAACTGTTGCTCTCAGTGTCTGTGCTACTGGTGTTATATTTAGGAAGTGGTCACATATATCAATGAAACACACACATATCTGAGAGAGAAACAAATAAAGGGATCATTGATTCTCAGTCTGTCTTCAAGCTTAAATATAGGACCAAATAGAATAGGGGACAGAAAGGATTCACAGGTGAGCAGTCCCGCTAAGGGGTGCTTTCATTGATGATTGTCCCCAGCTGTGGTTCAGAGAGGCAGGCTAAAAAAAGTACTTCTTGCCAACATCACTTGAGGGGACCAGTCTGATTCCCACAAGCCATCATTTCTGTTCTACACTGTTGGCTTGCCCTCATGGGGAACTGCCTTATCTTGGGAGGGAGGCTGCTCTGTGAGAATTTGGTCTTCCTGGAATGTGATGACGGCAGCCTTGAGCTGTTGTCCTGGAGGAGGGTGAGATGGGGTAAAAAGGAGTATGTGGTCCCCTAGCCTGCTGCCGTGCAGAGGTAAAGAGGTGGTCGAGAGTAAAGGAGCACCAAGTGGAGACAGGAATGGCAGGAAGGACACTCATTCTTTCTACCTTTATATGCCTCGTAAGTTTAAGCAAGGAGTCAAGTCTTTATTTATTTATTTATTTATTTAAGCAAAAGTAGCTACTAAGTGCCTGTTTTAGAATAAGTATCAGGCAAAGACTGATATTTTAGGCCAGGTGAAAACAGATTATTTTCTCTTTTAAAGTATATCAACGTTAAAAAAATAAAAGTAAACCTTGCTTCTCTTTTTTTAATCTGAAAAAGATACCACACTCCCCAATATACAAAGTTTTCATCCTCATCTTAACAGTGCTTTTTGCTGTTTAATTTTCTAGAATATGACACTAGAGAAATTGATGCAGAAATCGCAGCTCTGCAATCAGAGCTGAGAGGCTTTAAGAGGTGTAAGTATCCTTCCTCTCTTGTTAAAGGCAACCTAAAGTTTGGGAATGGTGGAAGGCAGAGTATTCTCACTGCATGCATATGATTTTCTAGGACCTGAAAAAATCGCTCATATTTTGATCTCATGATACCCTCCCAACAATCATTTGGGAGAAACAGAGGCAAATGGGAATTCAATTACTTACTCAAATTCACAGAGTTCAGTGGTAGAATTAGCTTATACGTTGCAGTGAGCGTGACTCTGGGACCCCAGTCCTGTGGGGTCAGATCTTTGCTTACCAAAAATAGGATGCAGGCCCCTTTGTAATGCTGGGATCTAGACCAGACAGTGGAGCCAATATGCTTCTCCCAGCTGTGGCTAGATAATCCCAGACAATTTTGTTCAATTGTAAGTTAGCAGTATGGTAGAATTTAGAACTCCAAATTACATGTGCTCTGTAATGAAGACCTAAACCTACAAAGGCATTGAGCCTATTGATTCATATCAAGACAGTAAGGAAAAGCAGCAAGGTAAACAGCTCAATTCGAATTTTAGATAAAAGAAGCATGTTTTGATTTGCGTAAGCATTTCACAAGGGGGCTCATGAAGGAAGGCACTCTTTGTGGTCTATACTGCCAGAGAAACTGCAGTATACATCTTTCAGTTTGAATTTTACCCCATGAGTGGTCTAGAAGATAAGCCAGTGTCTCCCGTCTTCTTACGTTTTAGGGGTGCTCTTCTCTACGAGTGGACAAGTCGGAAGGAAGTTCTTTGTGAGCAGTGGTAGAAAGACGAACTTTGACGGAGCGAAGGCTCTGTGCGCCCTAATACAGGCCTCTGTGGCCACTCCCAGGAATGGTGAGGAAAACAGCGTCCTCCAGAACGTGGCTAAAGACATCGCCTACCTGGGCATAACAGATAAGAGGATTGAAAACCGGTTTGAGGATTTGACAGGCAGCAGAGTGCACTACACTAACTGGAATGAGGGTGAGCCCAACAACACCGGCCTTAAGGAACACTGTGTGGTGCTCTTGTTGGATGGCAAGTGGAACGATGTCCCCTGTGACGACACCTTTTTAGCAGTCTGTGAATTCTCTGAGTGAGGGGCTTTCCTTCTCAGTCCTCCTGGATCTTTTACTGTGCTCCATAAGTCCACAATTTGTTCTGAAATATAAAATATATACTATTAAACATTAGCTGCCCAATTAAACTACAACCCTTTTTCTGAATAGTATTTTCTTGTGAAGGTGCAAAAAATAAAATGAGCTTGGTCTTTTCATTTATGATGAACACGTGTGCTCTGCCGAGTCCTCCTTTTGCTTTGGGTTGGCGGTTTCTAGGGTAGTGACATCACCCTAGCTAATTCCACAGTTTCTATGCCCAGTCTGCCCAGTCTCAGGTGTTAAAAGGGTCTACTTATAACTTTATTTCCTTCCTTCCTAATGCGGTGCTAAACTATGTACAGAATGTAAGTGTAACGTAAACAGATTAATGAATTCCCTCTCAATCTCTCTTACACACACACACACACACACACACACACACACACTCAGACACTCCATCCATCCATCCATCATTTGTCTGTCTACTGCCTGCCTGCCTGCCTGCCTGCCTGCCTGCCTGCCTGCCTGCCTGTCTATCTATCTATCTATCTATCTATCTATCTATCTATCTAATAACATCTGTAGGTAGAGGCATAGACATTTTCCTAGAAACCTCTTAATACTTCTCCTAGATACCGTTCCCAAAGGGAAGTATGATTTCTATCTGTATCATAACAAATTAATTTTGTTCATAAAATTCATAGATGGAATCATACTATTTGTACTGTCTGATGTCTTACGTTTGCTTCATTCATAATTAAGCACGCGCTGTTCATTCATGTTATAGACAGCGGCAGTTCATTTCTCTCACTGCTGTGAAGAACTCCCTTAAGTTAAATTAAAACATCATACTTTACCTTTTTGTTCTTAATGAACACAACTGAATGGCTTTTAGTATTTGGTTATTAAGAAAAAAAAAACTCTCGGGGCTGGGGAGCTGGCTCCACTGTTAAGAGTAGATATTGTTATCAGACAACTCACAAACTCCTGTACCTCCAGTTACAGGGACCATGACACCCTCTTCCAAGCTTCATGGGCATGCGCATTCATGGGTACACACTAACACATATGCACAGAGTTAAAAATAATTTAAAAAAGAAGTAGCCCTCAGGAACCTTTCCCTGGTTGATATGTGCACTAACTTGGTGATTGGTTGGTGGTGGTAGGGAAAGCATGCATTTAGATTCAGCTGGAAGGAACCACACTTCCATCAACAATACACGTCAGCTGTAGACACTCTACGTCTCAGGGAAGAGGTTGTACTTCAGCCCTTTTGATTTCGGCCGTTCTTGTATGTATAAAGTGATGTTGCTCTGTTTTTATTTTGTTTCCCCAGCGTGCTATAGTGATGAAAACATTCCACGTGGTAATTGCTAACCTACACAGCTTTTGTGATCTGTTCAAAACTATTGTGTTTTGCTGTAATCCATCTGTACTTTATATACTGACTTATAGGTATTTTTTACATTCAGAATACAAATCTCTTCTGCTTATGTTTATCGTAGGCACTTTTCCAGCTTCTCACTTCTTCCATTATTGGCTTTCGATGAATATAAGAGCCTAATAAAATAACTTCTTTTGTGGGTGTGTGTCTGGGTGTTTTGCCTGTATATTTCATGTATACCATATCACTTCCTGGTCATGGTCAAAACCAGAAGAGTTTCAATAGTCCCCTGGACCTGGAGCTCCTGACGCTTGTTTGCTGTCATGTAAGTGCTGAGAATTGAACTCTGGTCCCCTGGAAGAGCTCTTTGTGTTCTTAACCAATGAGCCATCTCCTAACCACCAAAAATGTAGTATTTTCTTTTAAGATTATAATATAATTATACAATTTCTGCACTACAAACCTTCCCATATACCCCTTCTTATCTTAATTTTTAAGGAAGCCTCATTTATTAATCTTTTATTAATTAAATTTATTCATTTATTTTACATCCTGACCACAGTTTCCCTCTACTTTCTCCTCCCCTTTCCTCCCCCACCTCCCCTCTGCACGCCCCAACCCACTCCTCCTCTGTTACTGTTCAGAAAGGGGCAGGCCTCCCATGGGTGTTAACAAAACATGGCATATCAAGTTGAGGTAGTACTAAGCTCCTCCCCTCATGTTAAGGCTTGGTAAGGCAACCCAGTATGAGGAGTAGGTTCCCAAAAGCCTGCTGAAGCGTCAGGGACAGGCTCTGCTCCCACTGCTAGGAGTTCCACAAGTAGACCAAGCTACATAACTTCATACATATACAGAGGGCCTGGGTTGGTCCTATGTGGACCCCTTAGCTGTCAGTCCAGTGACTGTGAGCTCCTACAAGTCCAGGTTAGTTGTCTCTGTGGGTTCCCTTGTGATGACCTTGACAACCCCCCTACCCCGGCTCATATAATCCTTCCTCTCTCTCTTCAACAGGTTTCCTGGAGCTCAGTCCAGGGCTTGGCTGTGGATCTCTGCATCTGTTTCCAGCATTCACTGGATGAAGGTTCTCTAATGAATGGCAATCAGGGACAATTAGGGTAGTCACTGATATGTTTTCAGGAGATGGCCAGTTCAGTCTACCTATCCAGTATTGCTAGGAGTCTTACCTGGGGTCATCCTTGTAGATTTGTGGGTGTTTCCTTTGCACCAGGTTTCTACCTGACCTCCAAATGCCCCCCATCAAGACATCCCTTTCATTACACTCCTTCTTTATCCCATGCCCTATCCAATTTCTCACATTTACACCCCCACCCACCCCCTGTTTACCCAGGAGATCTATTTCCCCATCCCAGGAAAATCCGTGCCTCCCTTTTTGGACCTTCTTTGTTATCTAGACTCTCTGGGTCTGTGGGTTGTAGCATGGTTATCCTATACACAACAGCTAATGTCCACTTACAAGTGAGTACACACCATGTTTGTCTTTCTGAGTCTGGGTTACCTCACTCAGGATGATCTTTTCTAGCTCGACCCATTTGCCAGCAAATTTTATGATGTCATTGTTCTTAACAGCTGAGTAGTATGCCATTATGCAAAGGTACCACATTTTCTTTATTCATTCTTTGGTTGAAGGAAGTCTAGATTGTCTCCAGGTTCTGGGTATTATGAATAACGAACATAGCTGAGCAAGTGTCCTTGTGGTGTGATGGAGCACCCTTAAAGGAGATTCTGTTCATTTAGAAGCTATGGCTGGTTCAGAACTTAGAGCCCTGACATGAAGAAGGAAGACTGTGAAAACTCTGAGCTCCATGGGGCTCCTGGAGAAAGAGCCACCTTTTCTCCATCAGGGGTGAAGTGTGGAGCCCTGATCTGGGTTGGACAAGAGCAGAAATGGGCTTAATGGGCTTTCCTTAGCGCATTGCAGGCACTTTGGCCCACTTGATGAACCACAGCCTAACTGGTGTGGGATAATTGTCTGTATTCTGTCAATCATGTTTTAAATAAATGCTGATTGGCCAGGCAGGAATTATAGGCGGGAAAATCAGACAGGAAGTAGAGGTGGAACAAAGACAACAGGAGTATTCTGGGAAGCAGGAAGCTCCCTTCTGCAGTCCTACCCAGATCATGGAAGAAGCAAGATGTGACCTGCCACGCCGAGAAAGGTACCAAGCCATGTGGCTAACATAGATAAGAATAATGGGCTATATAAGTTATAAGAGCTAATACGAGGCCTGAGCTAATGGGCCAATCAGTTTTATAACTTATGGAAATCTCTGTGTGATTTTCTTTGGGGATTACCAGCTGTGGGAACTGGGCAGGATGAAAACCCCAACAAGCAGGCCCTCATGTTACACCTAACCTTTAGGCCAAGGTGCGCAGCCTCACTATTAGGCTAAGAGCACAGAATTTTCTATCTTGCCAACATCTGTGACTTAGGTCTCTTGATGTTCACAAGGTGGGACACATTTCAAGAGGTTAAGTACCAAATTCTTCTCAGAACATGCCACCTTCTAGTACTGAAATGACTAAAAGGCTGCATGATGGTTATATAAACGCTCAGTCACAATGGTAAGTTCCCAGCCTGTTAAATGATTGCCACTGGCCATCTCTGGGCTTTCGCATCTTCCAGGACTGCCAACCTTGCTCAGGGCTACCTCCCTTCTCCCACTCTTACCAGACATCCACTTTACCCCCATAGCTGCAGAATCATCCTCTGTGATAGGTTAGATTGCCGTAGCGTGTTTGAGAGCACTGTGGCTCTTTTCTGCTGCCTCCACAACTGCTTCATCCCAGGCTTTTGCCTCCTCTGTGTGTTATTCTGAGTCAGCTTGCTGCAGGTGCAATCACTTTGCTTCTGACTTTGAGTTGCATTTTCCCAACTTGTTACTTAAAACAGTATTTTATTATTATCTAACGTTTATTCTCTCATACATTACATACTGACCACAATCTCCCTTCCCTCCCCTTCTCCCAGTCCCTAACCCCACATTTCCTCTCCCCTAGATCAATTCCTCCTTTTTTCCCTTCAAAACAGATAAATGAATGAATAAACGAATAAATAAATAAATAGAAAGAATGAGTGGGCCTCCTAGGGACAGCCAACAAACATGGCCTAACAATTTGCAATAAGACAAAGAACAAATCCTCACATCATGCCTAGATGTGGTAACCCAGTAAGAAGAAGGTAAAGGGTTCCAAGCATAGGCAAAACAGAGTCACCCCCCCCCCCCTCCGCTCCCACTGTTGGCGAGAACACCAACCTACACATAAAGTATTTGCAGAAGACTTAGCTTCAACGGCTATGGGGTCTGTTTGTAGTTTCAGTTTCTCTGAGTTCCTGTGAGCCCTGTTTAGTTGACTCTATGGCCTGTGATTTTCTGGTGTCCTTGACATCTCTGGCTCCTACAATCCTTCCTCCTCCTCTTCTGTGAAGCTCCCCGGCTCCACCTAGTGTATGACTGTGAGTCTCCATGTCTGTTCCCATCAATTGGTGCTCCTTGGATGACAATTGGGTGAGGCACTGTAGGTGACAGGACTTTTCTGTTCTGCCAAGCAGTTCCCAAATAACCACATTAATAATAAATGTTTGACTGAAATCTTAGACTTGTTTTTTCAGCTAGCTCTTATAAGTTAAATTAATTCATTTCTATTAATTGTTGTGATTTCCCGAGGTGTGTTTACCTCAACCATGTATTGCCCATTCTGTTTGCTCTGTGTCTCATGGTGTCTCCTCGAGATTCCTCAGACTCTGTCTTTCTTCTTAGCGTTAACTCTGCTCCCCAAATCCT